ACAATATGTATAGAGAGAGAGAGTTATATGTATATATTTTGAGTATTGAGTGATAGATGGATGATGAATGAAGTGAGCTCCATCTCAAAGGCAATATATAGACAACTTTTTGGGTGCCCAAAAAAGTGAGGTAACAAGTAACAACTTCTAAATATGAATACTATCTCCGTCCCTGAGTATTAGTCCAGTTTTGATTTTTTTCCAGCCATCTGTTTTCAACTTTTGATCTATAATTAAATAAAATTAAAATGTATATTGTATATTAATTAGACAAAATAATATTTTGAAAAATATTTTATATAATAAATCTAATAAAATTATTTTTGTATCAATATCTAATACTACATCGGTCCTAGAGTATTTGTCCACTTTCATTTTTACACACCATCCAATACACTTCTTTAATCTATTTTATCTTGTAATTTGTATATTAAAAAATTATAGAAATTATATACTAATAATCTATATGTTAAGACAAATCAAACAAGATCACACATGACTATATATAGGCTTACACATTGAGAGAATTTGATGAGTCAAAGTGCTTAGATGAACAGTTCCAAAAGTCAAAACTGGACAAATACTCCAGGACGGAAGGAGTATCACTTTTATTTAATTGGAGATCAGAGTTTACCAATTTTGACCAAAAAAGTCAAAAGTGAACAAGTGCTCCGGGACGGAGAGAGTAATACTTGATGTTTATCCAGTTTTGTTTTTTGTGGTCAAAATTGACGACCTTTGATTATTAATTAAACAAAATTGATATTAGATATCGATAAAAAAAATAATATCATTAGATTTTTTAAATCGTATTTTAAAAATATCTTCTTATCTAATCCTATACACTTCATGTTTTATACGAAGTAGATTTTATTTAATTATAGATCATAGGTCGAAAAGAATTAACTGCAAAAACTCAGAACTATAAAAATATTCATGGATGAGAGTAGTATTCTTTACAACCAAAGAGCATTCTCTACGAGATAAATAATGAGAATATAATACACTAACAAAAAAAATTAAGGGTATGTTTGGTGGGAGGATTTTCTCGAAAAAATGTTAAAGCCATTTTTTCCTGTAAGTGATTTCATATTAAGACACATTGAACTTGGTTATCTCCAATTGGGCTTTTACGTACCCGATCAACGCTTCAATGACAATTGAAGTGGGCCGCGTTTCTGAGTCAGTCTATTTACAATTTAAGCCGACAACTATTTGTTTGACTTAGAATAGTACTTCATAAATTGAATATTATGGGCCACGGGCCATTGGCTAATATCCATTAAGGATAGCACTAAACGAGCAGTTGGCAAGCAAGTAGTTAGTCCCCGCTTGGTGAGTTTATAAAAAAACCTGTGGGCGGGGGGTGTCGAGTTGAAATTGCTATGGGGAGGAGAGTTTAGGGAGAGTAGGAATTATCAATTTTACGATCGAATTACCGTAGATGTCCCAGTTAAACAGGTGTCACGATCTCACACTAGTTCAATTGAGGTATATAAGTTTCTTTGACATTTGGGTCAAAAATTTGATTGAAAAAGTCAACCAAAATTTATGTGATGCAATTGCAGGGGCTAGGGCGGTCGTGAGGGGGCGAGGTTAGGGGTGGCGGTTTTTGAGAGGGTTAGGAGGAGTAAAAATTATCAATTTTACGAACGCAACACCATATATACCCTGATTGAAATTGTATAACGAAGTTACACCATTTAGGATGATGTAACTCTACACTTGCTATATACTCCGTATATAAATAATAGAGTAAATTTCATAAACGGTCCGCGGTTATAGTTCATTTTACTTATTTAGTCCCTACATATCAAATATCAATAATTTAGTCCCCAATTATTATATAGCTTTTCATAAATAGTCCTTTGTTAGCATTTCCGTTAAGAACTGGATAAAATTGTATATTCACACTCCTCTCTCTCTTCAATACGCTTCCTCCATCCTCTCGTACTCATTCCCAAACTCATCGTTGAGTTTGAAGCTCTAAACCTAAAACCAAAACGATCACTCCTCTCTCAATGGTTCATCTTCCTGGTGAAACCTAAAATCAAAACCAATAACCTTCATGCATGAATTTTATGAGTTAGTGTTAGGAAATTGCAAAGAAAAGAAATCTAACTCATCCATAAAGGTTACTGGTTTCGATTTTGGATTCAACCAGTAAGACGAACAATTGAGAGAGGAAAGATAATTTCGGTTTTGGATTCAAAGTTTCAAATTCAGCGACGGGTTTGAGAAAAGAGTGCGAGAAGAGAGAGGAAGCTTACTTGAGGAGAGGGAGGAGCATGAGTTTACAATTTTATTCATGTTTTTAACGGAAATGCTAACAAATGACCATTCGTGAAAAACAATATAATAATTGGAGACTAAATTATTGACATTTGATATGTAGAGACTAAATATTTAAAATTTATTATAACTGATGATCTTTAATGGAATTTACTCTAAATAATATTCCGACCATTATTTTAAATCTTTTCAAAAAAAAATTTAGGATGTCATTGAATTATTTTATATGTGAACACTCTATGAATTTCTTTGGGGCAATGACAAGAATAAAGTGAGGGCATGGGGTGTGGAAGTGGGAAAGAAGGGGAGCTAGTAGGCCGGTACGAGGGTAACCTATCATTAGGGGGGGGGGGGGGGG